TTAGGTTCTTGTCTTTCATCGTCGAACAATTCTTCTACATAGTTCTTCCAGGTCCTAAGCTTTTCTTGTAGATCGGCTATTATTTCACCATTTGCGTTGCATAGGAGATTGGGATGTTTTCGTTTTTGTGTACCTGTCAGTTCCTTTATCTTTTTATGTAAGTTAAAAGTGTCATGTTTGAGATGTAGTTCTTCGATTTCCTCGCATTTTCTTGTATAAAAATTTTCCTTTGCAGTTCTTATTTCTTTTCTGATTTGTTTGTTTACTTCATTATATTTTTGGCTGCAGTTTCCCTTTAACTGTCTTCGCTCTTCCATGAGACCTAAAATTTTTTCTGTTATCCATTCTCGTCCTTTTTTCTGTTTCTCTTTGGTAAGCATTTTCTGGGCAGGTTTTATTATGGCGTCTTTTAAATCTTGCCACTTGTCTTCTACATGCGTGTTCTCTGTCTTTGTAGAAAGCATTCGTAGAAAGCATTCTACGAACGTCTTGGCAACACCTTAACCGTGAATAGAAATTTCTTCTAACGTTTGTCTTCGTAAGTCAGCTAAGTCAGTGGGTTAAGTTTTATATACAATACTTTTCTCATATCCCCATAAAAAAAAGTCTAATGGCGTCAAATCGGGGGATCGTGGTGGCCATTCCATCGATCCTCGCCTTCCTATCCACCGATTTGGAAATGTTTGAGGTACTGTTGTATACAAGTTAGCCAACGTTGACACTACATTATTTTGGAGCGATGCTAAATAATTGTCGCTATTTCAATTACCGTCTATGAAAAAAAGACCTATGATCTGATCTTCAATCATTCCTGCCCACACGTTAACCTTTTCAGAGTATTGAGTATGGCCTTTTCTCATTCAGTGAGGATTTTCTCTGGACCAATAGTTACAATTTTGCCGATTAGCATGACCGTGAAGAGTAAAGGTGCACTCATCAGAAAACAAAACATGTTCTAATTGGATCACATTTCTGTCTAACATCTATAATTCTAAATCTGTCTATAATTTTATAGGAATATATTTTGTTTTCTTGTAATATTCAAATAGCCGATGAATAGCTTATATCGAGTTCTGGGGCTGCTTTTCGAACAGATATATGCGGGTGTTCCTTAAACTCAAGCATAATAGCCAATTTCGTATCGTCACTTATTGCATTGGCAGCTTCTTCTTTTACCTTCCTAACATGGCCCAGCTCGTGGAATTGTTTCTCTATTTTACTAATTGTCCCTTGAAATATGTACGGCAAATCAGATAATGCTTCGTGAAATAAACGAGCTACTTTCATTTGCGTCCGTAAACCATTTTTCTGGCTTGCGGTTAATGAAATTCAAGTACTGTAGCACTGACAACTACTTCTGCCGTGGAACAATAAACATTGGCGTTTTAAACCAAAGTAAACAATTTTTTGTTTTTTTTTTACAAATCAAGAAGGAATGCTTAAATAGTTTTTGCTGACTTTATCATTACCAAGACCTAAATGCGCAAGAATTGCATTTTACTTAATATTTCCGAAACAGTCAAAGATAGGTATTTATATAGGACATTGTATTCAAAAAATGTCTAGAATGATCTGAGGAATCTAAAAATTAATTAATATACAAGGTGTTGGTGCAAGGTGTATGGAAAAAAATGCTTAACTATAAATACTAATCAACGTGTTCGACCGTTTTTACGAGTATTCCCTCATTTATTTATTAGTTAATTTATTACATTTGGCTGACACACAGTATATATATATATATATATATATATATATATATATATATATATATATAATATATATATATATATATATATATATATATATATATTACATACTTTTCGCCACCCTAGTTAAATTTAACTGTAGATGTAATCGATATAATATGCAATATTGGGTATATGGTATATTAATTCTCGAATAAAAAGTACATTTTTCTTGAAACGAAGCCAATCATTCTCATGCTATAAAACTTTTTAACACGTACACCACACACTATTATTTTAATATATTGTATGTTTTATGAAAAACATTTTAGCGTTTTTGACTAAATTTTAATGATCATTTAAAGAAAACTAATTAAACGAAGAATTATAGCTTCTCTAAAATTGCTGTAATAGGAGTGTAAGCCGGACCTGTATCGCAGTCTAGAACGGACTGGGCATTCTCCAACTTTCTAATTTTGGAGACACATTGCATATTAGAAGTCTCTAGAATGATTTACATACATACATATTGTTCCACAATTTTATTGGTCTGCCTCTTCTGTTATCCTGTTGGTTCAGCTTCCCACAGTCTTTTCACTTGCCTGTTACCATCCATCCGTGTTATATGACCGAACCATGCTAATTGTTTCTCCTTTATTGTGATATATAATGTTATAATTTCGTAAATTAAGAAGCGAAAGTATATAACCAAGAAGCAATAAGCGCTAGTTAATTGGTGACCTTAACAAAAGATAGACAACTATGGAAGTCCTATGAGAATTTCAAAAATTTACTCAAACAATATTGATCATGACCTTTCTGTTCGAACTGATGTTTTATCATAGTAAAAACAGAATAATCCTTGGTTGAAAATATACAACACGATGAAAAATTGTAAAAGTTTTTGCTATCACTATTCAATCTGATTTTTTTACTAGTAACATCTGCCATAGAGCAAAGACTATTTAAAAAAAATTTAGTCAAGAACGTTAATTAATAAAGTTTGACCATATATAATTTTTTTATTATCAATTTAAGCATGCCATTTTAACTGTAAAGCACTTTTATCTAAAAATAATATGTATATACATAACGTATTACCTTTTTCTTTCTTCTCTAAAAGTCGTCTATTCCACACCGGTCATACTACACTTTCTGAGAGTGTGCCTCCACCGTTTCAGTTTGTCCGCTTTTTCTTTCCCCTTTGGGTATTTACTTTTAATGGCTTCTTCTGCCATTGTCCTTGATATTTCCCTTTTCTCTTCTTGATATCTTGATGGAAACGTTCTCCTTGTTATTTACTCACAGCCCCCAAATTATCACGAAAATAGTCTCGGTGGAAGAATGCACCTTTAGGTTCGTATGAGACAATCCAAGTCTCAAAAACACTTGGAATTTTTTTGACTATATTTTTGTAATCAGGATCTTTATTTTCGCCCACGAATTCTTCCACAACATCCTTAAATACGAAATATCCTTTCCTTTGGAGATATACTTTGGTGTTGGCAAACTCTTAATTCGCTAGAAGTCTTCTGTTATCTGACGCAAGAAATATATCTTCTTTCAATTTTGCCTCCGAGAGACCTGGAAACTTTTCAACCAATTATTTAAAACATTCTCCGTCTTTTAGAAGAGATTTGATGAATCGTTTTATAATACCTAGCTTTACAAGAAGGAGAGGACGGAGAATTTTTCCTGGTGGTACCAAGTTTTCTTGCAGAATATTTTCTGCAACTATAAGCATCCTTAGCGCTCAACTCTTCATTCACATAGTTCTAAAGGCAAGGAAATTTGATGTAATCAGCTTGTTGCCCAAACAGCATACACAAGATCTTCAAATCACCGCACATTTGCAAACCGTGATCTTCACAATAAAGTGAATTTTTAAATAATCAGTGCCAAGTTCTCATAGGTCTTTTTAAAAAACACATAATGTCCAATAGCAATAGAAGCATAGAAACCGACATTATAGAGTAAAACTACTTTTAAGCTACGTTTCGATAAGTCCATAAAGAGACACGATTAAGTGGATTCATACACTCCATGTGGTAATAAAGTTTTAATCTTTAGTCGAGATTATAGGAACTCCTCAGCATCTTTGAAGAGATGCAGATCTCTCACCAAATCATTTATCTCTTCCCTGGAGAAACATTTTGGCCCCATTTTACCTTCCAAGTCCTGATCGTCCTGAGGTTGCTTCACCTTCATTAGTGGAGGTATTAGTGGGCTGTGGCAGAGGTGTTTCTGCATCATGAATGAACGTATGAAATGGAATACTTTGATTTTGAGTTAAACCCTTTAACATTACAGTAGAAGAAGTATGAGTCGTCACTATGGGTCCTTTGCTCTCACTATACCACATGTACCCCGTAGCAGAAACTTTTTTTTTGCCCTCGAACCAGTTTCGAAGGTCCTGCACACATCTTTTGCAAACTTTATGAGGAACCCACACTTTGTCTTGGTCATCAAGATGTAGTAAAAAGTATGCAAAATACACTTTCTCCACAAGATCTGTTATACTGAGTTATTTTAACAGTATATATTTGGCACAAATAAAACAAAAAGAATCAGGTAAATTTCTGCAGTTTCGCAAGGCCATCTTATGAAAATATTATGCAACTAAAATTATAGTATTACCAACTTGGTAAGTCACATTACATAAACTAGAATCATTATCTGCTGAACATAGGCCTCCCGTAAATAATTCCATTGTATCCGATCTTGAGTACTCTGAATCCAGTTGCATTGAATGCGATTGATGTCGTCTGACCACCTTGTTGGAGGACGTCCTCTATTACGATATGTAGAATGTCTAAAATAAGTAGAATAAAGTTTCCAAAAATAACCGAGTTAATATTAGCTTATCAAGGTTAGAAAAAAAACTGAGTTAGCATAGCGGCGTAATATAGTAGTGAGCTACCGGGACGCAATTGGTGCTCTGCGAAGCAAGTTCGTACACCGTGTGTAACGAAGGTAGTTTGATAGTACCACCTCATTTGTGATACAATTTGCCTGTGATATTCTGTGCGTTTCAGAATGCCAACTGCAAGATCTCATAGCCTAAACAAGGAAAAATGGTCTAAATCAACATTCTTATTTTGTGAAAAATCCTGACGTCCTTGACATTTTCTGATATAATTTTCGTTTTCAGCACAAGAAATTACATAATTATTCAAATAACTTTCTGGTTACAGACCTGTGTCAGTATACTTGAATAAAACAATGTATCAAAATTAAGTTGGTAATAAAAAATTGTACATGTGGTACAAGCTAAATAAAAAAACATTTCTCGAAATTATGTTGTTGTTTTAGCCACCTTTAGAAGATAACTACGACGATCTGCACAGCCGACGGAGCCCTCCAGAGAGCGACAAAAAAGAAGCCAAGAGTGATGCTGTAATAACCATGCCAATTCCAGAAGTCCATTCTGTTGGAGGCGTCATAGTACACATGCCACACGTGTGTTCTGTACGAGCAGTATTCAAACTTAAACCAATAAATCATTTATTGGTTTGGGTTCCACCATATGTCCTTTGAGTTTACATAATTGGCAATTTTAAGATAAATGCGAAAAAGTTCACAAATTTTTTACTTTTATAAACCTCAGACAGTTATTTATTTATAAAAATATTAGTAATATTATGGTACGATCGAGTCCTCTAATACCCTTCAGCCATCTCTATAATTTGTTCTTTTAGTTTTTGCTTTGGTATCTTTTCATTAACTTATTACTATTAATCCACTCGTCAGAGATTTGATCTCTAACGACGAGACGAACAAGCTAAATTTTGCTAAGAATGTCAATTTTGGGCCCCAAAAAAGATGTAAAAGAGTTTGCCACTCCTACCCCTGGGTAGGAGTGGCAAAAGGTTAACACTTCCACCCCTACGGGAGGGGGCTTATGGGGGAAGCCTGGAGAATAGAAGTGACAAACTTTTTTGCATCTTTTTGGGGTCATAAAATTGACATTTTCAGCAAAATTCAGCTTGTTCGTATGATTTTTAAAGGTTCAGTGGCTCCGACGACTGTCGGAGTACTAAAAGTACTGACTGTACTTTTGAATGATGTACTACTGACTGATGTTTTTGTTTAAGCCCCCTTTCATTAACCCTTTAATGCATGACTTTTTTCAATTCAACAAAAAAAGATATACTATGTATTTACGTTTTTTTATTAGTAAAAAATAACAAAAAAATCTTTTTTTGTTTTGTCAACATTAAAAAATCTAAAAATCTAATGTTGCATATTTGCAGCATCATGCATTGGGTTATCACTATTTTATCAAGCTTCAGTATGGAACTTTTTAAAACAGTTATTTTACTTATTGAAACATAAATTCAAACCACATGTCTCACGTGTGTAAGAGCTATGTTGTACGAATATCTCAGCATGCTTTAAAGCATGTCATCGTAAACACACATAATAATAGGAGGTGTAATTCGCTATGTTGTACTTCTGCAACAGTATGCATTAAGGGGTTAATGGTTTCAATTATTTCGGATTTAAATCCGTAAACTAATTTTCGAAACCAAATTCGGATTTATATTACATCATCGTTTATTAGTTGTCGGAGTAACACCAACTCGCACTATAATTCCCTTAAAAAAACTTGTTTATTTTTTTATTTCTAGTTATCAAAATATGCTATTTTTAATAATATAATTGGACTTCGCTCGCATGCTTAGTAGTTTGTTAAAAATAACTTTAATAAAACACAATCTATTTTTTTAACGTTTTTTGAAACTTTAAAAAAATCAAAAAGATATTCCTACATAAACTGTATTGGCAATTAACTGTCACCGATACACACCCATGAAGTAATGGTTTAGTTTATAAATCTTCTTCTAATCAAATAATCCTGCCGTACCACAGCACTGGCTAGGTATTATATCTCCTCTAATGATTATCTACCTCATCATTTCATAGACAATCTTAATTATACCTTTTTCTCTAAAGTATATGGTTTTACATTTTTATCATTTACAACAGTAATGTCTACGTAATATATCTCCTCTAATAGTTATCTACTTCATGATTTTATAAACATTCTTGGTTATAGCCCTGCCTCTAAAGTATAAGAAACTATTTTCTGGTGGCATTTTTATATTATGGATTTTATTCATTCGCTACATGCCAGTTCTTCTTAGAACCATAAGTTATTGTCTCCAGTCCAGCCTGTTGCCATGTGTCTAGTGATGTCAGCTTTGTTTTATACTATTTCTTTCAAAATCTCTTCACCATTCGAAATGTATTCACTTGACCCCTTTTGGATTTATCTGAGAGTCCTTGAAGAAAACTTTATGAGCCTTGATATTTTTGAAGTATGTTCTATCTTGTCGCACTGCCTTCATTTGCCAGATTGTTATTCCAACAGGGCACGACAGCCTCTTGAAATTGTTCGGCAGCCATTTTAGGTCTAGTCTATGCCTTGTCGTCCCATTAAGAGCGTCCTACAAAAGTTATTCTCGCTTAAGCAGTTTTATTTTATCAAAATTATTTAAATACAAAGTAGTACCTTATCGCATAAGCTAAGCAAATTCCGTAGTTAGTAGCTTTGTAGACGAAAATTCAAAGGCATATGGCTCATCAACGAGAAAAATGTAGCATAAAACATAACAGCATTTTTTTAGATAATGACTGCTACAGTTGAAACGGTCTCAGAACAATTAGATCTGCCAATTATGCCAGTTGAGCGAGTTCCAGCAGGCATTGCAAGAGCCATAACTTTATCAGAATCTGATGTAGGTAAGTATATATACATCTAATGCTATTATTTTCTTTTAGTTCTTTTATGAACCAGGTTTTCCAGCGAAATCCACCAACATTTCCCAAAACAAAAAGAGAAATCATACGATTTCTACCTGGCGAAATCGAATTCAAATATCAGCCACCGTGCTTCCTAAAACTTGCGAAGCAAACAGCTTGATGAATAAATCGGCAAGAGAATCTAAAATTGCATTCCAAATGCCGTTCATCATGGCCAATATTCGTAGTGAATTCGATTTCTGGTACTCCAAACGAAGTAAAGAAATAAAACACAATGACGGTATTAGATTTTGATTCGATACAGAGCAGCGACAAGCCGCATATACTTATTTCGGCCTCTTTAGGTCTCCTCAGTACGGTATAGCCACTACTGTACATAGTTATTTTTAATAACTATGGTCTACGACGGGAAAATATTTTGGTTCGATACGGAGTAGTGGCTATACCGTACTGAGGAGACCTAAAGAGGTCGAAATACGTATATGCGGCTTGTCGCTGCTCTGTATCGAATCAAAATCTAATACCGTCATTGTGTTTTATTTCCCAAAACCTTTGTTTTTCATAAACTCATTCACATATCATCTTGGTTTTTTTAAGTTCGATCTCTTTTTTTACTGAGTTTGACAAAGCCACATTATATTAAATAGGTAAGTCAAATTAAAAGTCAAATAAATTGTACTTTTGATTGATAAAACACAATAGACATCTTTGTAAACGCACTTGGGGCACGGAATGCAAATATATAGGTACTGAATCATGTGGGCCAAGCAAATCACATATTATCCTTATAGCCTCCACATCGAATCGCTTTTAGATATATGATAATATATCTGTGCAAGACAGACTGGGCGGGAGAGTCTTCAACCCCGACACGGCACGTCCCATTAGCTGATAGGGAACTTCCTGTAGATATGCAGGACAGGAACGAATAAGGCTCAGCTAAATAAGTACCCGCAGATCAACTGAGGACATGACACAGATCAGAAGCTGTGTCACTAGTGGCCCGTGGCTGAAGAATACAATTCCTGACAGGTGCGATACCACAAAGTCGCAGGTGAATTATAACCGGCTGTGATACTGCGAACACTTACCAACACGTCTGGCAGGCGTGGTGTTTTAATGCCAATATACCCCTAAAACTGCGATGTCAGATTTTAAAACAAATCCAGACTTACCTCAAGGATTCTGGAGGGAAAAAAAACTGACTATATGGAAACCCAAATAACTCTTTACGTTAAAAAAAAAATTGTTTAAAATCCTTCATAAAAGGTATATAAAAAATGCCCCAAACGGGCTATCACAAACACATTGCAAAACGTTTTCGGATTGATAAAGATACAGACGAAGAAATCGAAATGTTTTATGACGATATATCTATTGCACTTACTGACACTCGTACTCAATTCACAATTTTATGTGGCGATTTCAACGCAAAAATAGGTGTAAAAGAAGTAGAGCTAGAAACATCCTCGGGAAAATTCGGTATCCCAGAAAGAAATGACCTAGGAGAAACGCTACTAGGATTCCTACTCTAGAATAATTTATTCAACATGAACAGCTTTTTGCACAACAAGATGCACAGAAGATGGACCTGGGAAATCCAAACGGTAGAACAAGAAACGTAATCGACTACATTATAAGTGACAAAAAAACAAATAATTAAAGATATAACAGTATTTAATTATTAAAAATAAATCTCATGGTATCTGGACACCTCCATTAGATATCAACCAATGTCAGGCACTTATTAATAATAAGCTACTACTGCATGAAACCGCCGAGAAAGATTTTAACGACTTGAATAATTTACTTTATTTTTACTTTAATTTATTATTTTTATTTTAATTTACAAACACCTTATCATAAAGTCACCGAGTGCACTGTCCTAAAAGAAAATCAGATAGTAAAATAAGTTCATATACTGAAGCACTGCTGAATCAAAGAAGACAAGTGAAAAGCGATAAGAATGCTGACAGCCACACTCTTAGAGACCTTATCTTCTGCAATATTTGTTTTAATTGTCTGATATAAGTGTCTTCTAGCTTCTTGTTCATTTCAAAGTAATTCTTTTGAGGTTTTCCTTCATTGTAGACATTTTAGATATCAGACTCTTGGGTTGTGGCTAGATATTATGTTTTTGTAAACCTAATTTAGTTTGTTCTAATTGTTTTAATAAAGCTGTAAATTTTTATTTTCACAGTTTTTGTCAAATCTTATTTACATTTAATAGATAAATTAACCTAATCCTGATTTATAGCTATGGCAAAAGCACAAATAGTAAAAGCTCAGGTAATAGGTGAAAACGACGAACCAGTAGATACAGATATAGGAGAAGACATAGATAATTTCTGGCAAACGTCTGTAGGGAAGTTTAAATTTTGTGTTGAAGAGTTACCACAACCGTTACAATATATACACCAGCTATTACAAGAGTTATCGAACGTAGATAAGCCCGATGTTCTTTACTATATGTTGCAATGTTTAAACGTATTAATTTTACATGGAGATGCTTGTACGATAGCCTCAAAAGAACACAAAGGCTTTTTCATTTGGTGTCAAGAAAATCTCCTCATAAAAAAGTAAGTATAGAAAGTATGCCCAAAATAATAATACTATAACAACTTGTTTGGTTTTATATAAAATGTAACTTTTATTTTAGCCTTTGGGAACTGTGTAACTCAGAACACTCTCATATATGCCAAACAGTAGTACCACTGCTTTTACACTGTATAACCTTACCAGCTGGTTCGGATGTGTTCTGGCGAGTAATTCAAGAAGCATTTCATTGTCCTGAGTGGAGTGTGAGATTTACTGCTGTCGAAAGAGTAACTGTCATTACTAGATTTATGGATTCTAGTCCTTTGAGAGATAAACCATCGCTTCAAGCAGCTTTGGCCAACGCTTTTTGTTATTTGATTTCAAGTATGGATGATAGTAACGTGTGTGTAGCTCAAAGAGCTACTCTTTATTTAGGGACCATTCACGACGCTGCTGTTAAGGTAATTGTAATTGTATATATTTTATACTTTGAATAACTTCTTCTTCTTGGCTGGCTTTACAACTCAAGGTCAGTCTTCGTTGCATCCACTATAGCCCTCCATGTTCTACGATCTTGCGCTTAAATTTCCCATTGTTGTATCCCAATCCTAGATAGATCGGCTTCAACATCATCCTTCCATCTTTTACTGGGACTCCCAACTAATCTTCTACCGTCTGGTCTCTCAAAAAATCTGCTTTTAGCATTCTGTCCACCCCTTATCTTACATGACCTGCCATCTTATCCTGTTAGCTTTTATATATTATATCCCGAACATTTCGTATAGTCCAGAGGACAGAAAACGATATTATTAAATCGTTTTCGTTTATCGCCACCAAGGCAGGTAGCGCCTTTGTACGCTACCCACTGCAGTGGTAAAGTTTTAGGAGACATTCGTTGGATTTTCCGAAATTGAATTTGTATCAGCCCCAGCGTCTGATGAAGCACGTATGAGCCATAATATTTAATTGATACAGATTCGAGCGAGGGAAGTTTAACGAATTTGTCCTTCTATGCCATTTATTTGTTCATTTAATATATATAATATATATATATATATATATATATATATATTTATATATATATATTTATATATATATATATATATATATATATATATATATTTTATATATATATATATATATATATATATATATATATATATTTATATATATATATATATATTTATATATATATATATATATATATATATATATATATATATATATATATGTATATATATATATATATATATGTATATATATATATATATATATATATATATAATATATATATATATATATGTACATATATCTTTCTATAATATAATATATTAATTTTGGTTAAATATCAGAAACATTTGAGTATTTACTGATTACAAATTTAAAAAATGTTAAAACTTCTCTCCTTAAAAAGTAAGAAAATGGACATAGTGTCCTTTACCTCAGAGGTACGGCGTTGGAAGTGCATCTTTGATTTTCTTAGTTCTTCAATCTCATGTTAATGTTGTTTTACTTATACATGTATAATAGAGATGTTCTTTGGCTGTGCTAAGTTTGAACAAATTGTTAATTGTAGTTAGTTCAATTAATTGTTTATACATCATAATCGTATAATGTATGAAGTATGAAGTAGCCATCATCTTTGTCTTTTTTCTCCACCTTTTGACCGAAAATAACCCACCAGTCATCTGCGTGGGGTCTTTGGCCTTTGGTCTTTGTCTTTGGTCATTTGGCCTTTGGTTATATCTGTGAAAGTTCCTCTGACCCTTGATTTTATATTGCTGGGATTTCTACCTCTGGAATGTGAAACATCCCGAAATTATAAATAATAATAGTAATAAAGTAAAAGAAATAAAAAAAATTGAAAAATACTGATATGGTTACTTATGACAAATGAATGAACTGAAAAGTGTATTAAAAGTGTGTAAAATATTCAATTCCGAGCTGAACGTTTTCGGCTTACAAAGTTATCTTCAGAGCTATGGTCAAAATTTAAAAGTACCACTACCAAAGAGGTGAAAGACTGCAAAAGTTTTCTTCAAAAGTTAAAGAAAATGTTTTTATTTGTTCTTTAATTCACATTTGTTTATTTTAGTCTTTAATTATGTGTTTGGAGACTCAGTTTGATTCTGTGATAGTGGACCGTCCGATGGTCCTTCAGTCCTTATACCAACTACACAACTCACTTAGCGAAAGAAAAATTATGACTTGGGATTTTTTTCTAAATCGTTTCGATACATTATTTATTGAAGCACAACTAACACTCGAGAAATCAGGCGAAATAAGTTATTGTAGAGGTATAGTATAATTTTCAACTTATAAATAGAATATTAGTTGATACCATGGTACAACGAATACAAGGTATGATATTGCGCATGACATTTGACAGCTGGCCCAGGAGTGTGACGTAGTCGAGACCGCTCGAAATGGCTCGAACCCGTTATTACAGCTTAACGTACACATGAATTTTGAAATTATGGTTAAAAAATGATAGAATTTTTTTAATGTTTTGTTTTGGTTATAATCGAATAAAAAATATATTTTCAGTAGCGTAAAACCTTTACTTTTCCTGGAGATTCAGGCGAAATATTTAGTTTTGTTTTCATACATATACTAATAACGTAAGCAGACTTTTTGTATGCAAATCCGTTAAAATTTTAGATATCAAGACTCTTGGGTTGTGGCTAGATATTATGTTCCTGGAGATTCAGGCGAAATATTTAGTTTTGTTTTCATACATATACTAATAACGTAAGCAGACTTTTTGTATGCAAATCCGTTAAAATTTAAAAATTTTGTGCAGAGGAAATACTGTGAATAGGTAAATAGTAGTAGATTTGCGTATTCTGATTCACTGTCACTCATTTCCAACCAGTTTTACTGAAGTAAAAACAAAATAGATTACAATAAATAAAAATATGATTTATAATTCAATATGGTATTTCAGATGATTTATAATGAAATTTAGTAAAATAAAAAATATACACACTAATATAACCTACCGATTATTATATGCAAAATTTAGTTAACAAACAATATAATATGAAAATAAGGCACAAATTAGTTCAAACGCAAAACACAATAAATATCGACCTCAGACGACTTTACACCGACAAGACAGAAGGCTTGTATAAAAACAAAAGTTCGACAATAATATCGGTTATCAATGGTGACGATGCAAATTGCAAGTTATGAGATAATAAATATATTTTAAAGTAACTCAATACTGACTGAGTCATCTATTTGATAAAAGAAAAATAATTTAGATATATGCTTATATATTTATGTCTCTTTATACAAATATTCACTTCGCAAAGGTTTAAAAAAATTGAAGGGTAAAATTTAACCGGCGCCCGTATCCCAGACGAGCGCGTAAAAAATTACCAGTAAGGCGTAATAGAACAAGTTCAGGATTATATATATATATATATATATATATATATATATATATATATATATATATATTAATATATAAACAGCAGAGATAAAGAGACGAGTTAGACTGGCATGGGCGGCATTTGTCAAACTAGCTACATTCTTAAAAACAAAAGATATCCACAGCATCTTAAGACCAAAGTATACAATCAATGCGTACTCCCTGTTCTTACTTATGTGGACATTTACAAAAGCAAACATGGACAAAATAATAAAAACCCAAAGAGCAATGGAAAGACAAATGTAGGACATAAGACTAATGGATAAAAAGAGAAACGAGTGGATAAGAGAGAAAACAAAAGTGAGGGATGTTATGGAGATTTGCCGGACACAATATAAGACAAAAAGAAGACCTATGGAACAAAATTCTTATAAGTTGGAGACCGTGGGAATATAAAAGAAGCAGAGGAAGGCCCCAAATGAGATAGGCAGATAATATCAAGAAGCACTTGGGCTCTAGGTGGATGACTGTAGCGACAGACAGAGAAGAATGGAAAATGATTGAGGAGGCCTATGTCCAAAGATGGACTGAAGAAGGCTAATTAGATAGATAGATAGAAGGTGCGCGTATGTCTGAGACTTGTGTGTACTTGTGGTGTTGAGTTACTGTTTAATATACTGTATAGTATTTTTTTATAAAGTAAAAATTTTTATTTGTCATTGTATATCTGGTTTTGTAGCTTTATCAAAATGCGCTGTGCAGTTGCTTGTTGCAATAGTGACAATGAAGATAAAATATTTAGGTTTCATACATTTCCTAAAGATAGTTTGACCAGAAAACTGTGGATAATATCTTGTAATAGACAGGATCATTTTACCTGTAATACTGTAAGAATTTGTTCTAAACATTTTAAAACTGAAGATTACCAAAGAAATCTACAACACGAACTTTTAAATTACGTTTCTAAAAAGGGTCTAAAACTTAAACCTGAGGCAGTACCTAGTCTTTATTTGCCTAAATCAAAATCAGCTACCCTTTCAACCAACCAAAAGAAACGCGTACAAAATCGCGTATTTTTATTAATTATTAGTCTTTATTATTGTAGAAATGAATTGCATACGTTATACACTTTTTATTTAACTGAACTATAATAAAATTAACATTTGAAACATTAAATAAAATGAAATGAAATGGACTGTATAATTTCGAACTGGCTTGTTCGATGGTCGCTAGCTAAGAGAGGGAGGGCGACTTGTTAAAGCCGACTCCGCATGGTCGGCCGGAACACCACGTTGCCACGTTGATTCAAGTTTTCACCATATTCCCCGCCTTGAACGGTTGGTTCAATAATACTGGTAGAGGACATATTTTAGTTACAGCTCTTTTTAAAGTTCCTTTCGACGTCTTCACTGTAACGACTCGTACTACGCCGTCTGGACCTGGGTGAACTTCACTGATTCGTCCTAAAATCCATTGACATGGAGGAACATTCTCATTTCTGATGGTCACCAATGTACCACATTCCAAATTGGGTACCTTTTGTTTGCCCTTATATCTGCTTTGAAGGCTGGAAAGGTAGGAAGTAGACCATTGCTTCCAAAAACTTTGCTGCAATTGTTGAAGCAGCTGAAATCTTGTTAACTGGTTCAGTTTTACCGTTTCACCAAAAGCTGGATCAGGAACAGCAGTATGTGATCTTCCAATCAAGAAGTGAGATGGGGTTAAGGGTGAAAAGTCATTAGGGTCTGAGGACATAGGGTAAAGGGGACGGGAATTTACCGTAGCCTCAATTTGTGTTAGTATCGTTACAAATTCTTCATACGTTAATAAAACATTTTTAATTGTCCTTAGTAAATGATGTTTTACACTTTTAATGTTAGATTCCCACAATCCTCCAAATGACGGAGAATTCGACGGAATAAAATGCCATTGAATATTTTTATTTGTGAAAAAGTTTGAAAATGTATCATAAGAGGTAGACAAAAACTTAAAT